CATTCGCGGTTTTTCAAGAGACACTTGAACGCGCCACCGTGCGGCCAATGCAGCAGGGGACCTCTATAGGCGACACCCCCTTCGGACAATTGCAATACATCAACAGCAAACCACTTGAACTCACTTCACAGTCATGTAAAAGCAGCTGCATCACCACATCTCACAGAACACAACAGACATTCTCGGGCACGGCTGGACGCAGTCCACACCAGCTCTGGCTTCGCCAGCGGCCACTACTGTCTGAGACAGATATGCAGGGTTCTGTACATAATAAATCCCTCCTTCTGGTGAGTCTTGCCTTTTACCTACAACCTGGGATTCGACCTGATATTTGTAGTGATCCGAGTATAAACACTACTTAGAACGCTGCATAATTAAGCGGACATGAATTCGTGTTTAAATTCGACCACCGCCTTTAGAAGGGACTCTTAGCTTTTACGTTTGGAGATTCAGAAGGTTTCGCCATCTAAAAAGCTCAACGAAACACTTCTTTATTGCTACTTAAGTTGAAAAACTGTGTACTGAGAAGAATCTATGGGAAAACGTCTCAATATAAATGGACGATGTTACATTAAGAGTGGTCAAAACGCGATTCCCATGTAGTAAGTAATATTTTTTAACATGCCATAGGCTTGCGTGAAGTAGAATTACGAACATTTGAAAAACCGAAAAACTCCGACTTTTAAGCACAAAAATGAATGGGTGGTGGTACCTTAGAATCCATCATGTCCGCTAGATTAACAACGACTGATGGCGAGATGGCACGAGTCTGCGGCAAGACAATGTTGGAATGTGAGTTAGCAGAGAAGGCCCGTGGCGAAACAGTCTTCGGCAGGATGCGTCGGATAGCACCAGCCTTCGGGACAGTCTTTCCGACAGCAGCTGGTGAATTCGCGCAGCTTGTTTTTTCCCGGCTTGTAGTGGGACTTTCAGAGGGCGAGACTTCGGTAGGTGGCGAGGCACCGGAGGACTGCGGCACCTCACGAATAGACAGGATGGGCGCGGCGGTGATGCTCTGGGTGTGCGGGAGGACTTGACCGGTCGACAGGACATTTTGGGG